TTTAAATTCTTATTTTGTTTCCATAAATCAAATAATACAAGTATAAAAGGTGGTATTTTGTAATAAGGAGGGCAGGTGGGCACACCTGAGCATTTTGCTGTTTATACAGTTGAGTTTACAGAGAACGGTGTAAAAATACACACACACACAGACACACACACATGCCCCTTACAAGTCCAAGCCTGCTGTTTTTGTTTTTTTTTCTCGGGGTTGCCTTGCTGCTAAATCGCAGTCTGTCTCTCTCTCTTTGTGACAGTGCCAAGGAAAGGCCTCAGGTTCCAACACATCCCCCAGATCTACTTGTGGACTGTACTGTAAAAGTCATGCATGTTCCTCGTAACAGACCCGGGTCACTCTGAACCACCCCAGCATCTGAACAGAAAGATCTGGATCTGCCAGTTACAGCCCATAAAAGACATGTGGCCTAAAAATGCACAAATGTGATCACTTAAATCAAAACCTCATACAGTAAATTGTATCTTTTATCATCCAGTTGTTGATCATAATGCAAAATGAATGTATGCTATCGTTTCTGAGGCAACAATGGCGAGAAACAGATTCCACTCATTTGGAAGAAAGACCATGCATGTGTTTTTTATAAATATGTGTTTAACGTGTTGTTGACCAGAAGGTTTTATGTATTGTTGCCTAAGCATTGTTAAAGCAGGCAGAATTTTATATGAGAGGAAACTTCCTTTGTGGGTTTCTGTTACTAGGTGTTTCATGATGAAACACGTTTTATTTACCTGCGTATTAAACATCAATTTCCTGAACCATCTGACCTGTGTTCCTCATTGTGAAAGTGGTTGGTGATTTGTTGTTTTGTTGCCTTGCCATTCCAACGTTGCCTGTATTTCCTGCAGTAGGTTTTTTTTTATGCTTTGACCAACCAGGATAAGATGGCTTTGTCATTTTTTCATGCAGAAAATATATTACATAAATGTGTCTCAGTACTAATAACAGAGGTATTTTTTGGCACATGTATCTCATGTATCTTCCTGTCATTCGTCCCCTCAGGGTGATATCCAACAACTGCTGATTGTGGCCGACCCTAAAGCAGCTTACGACTACTGTGAAAACTACAGCCCAGACTGTGACGTCCCCCACAAGGACACACTGCAAGCACAGGAGCCTGGAGAGGAGGTTAGTATAGACCTTTTGCGCTGACCAGCAGAGGAAATGGTCTTTCCTGCAGTATCCAGAAGACCAAACGTTTCTGGAAGTCTGGCACATTGTTGATACTTTTGACGCTACCAGTCAAATGATTGGACACACAGACTCATACTTTATTGTTGTTTTCCACCCACAGGTTTGAATAATATACAAGTCATCAAAACTATGAAATAACACTCAAAGACAAGAATTATGTAGTGGCCAAAAATGTTAAATGATCAAAACTTTTTAAAATTAAAATCATACTTTGCTACATTATTATTATTTTTTATTTTATTTTATTATTTTTTTTTAACAAATGAAAGAATCAACACATCACTGTCAGGAATGATCATTATGGAAGGAAATTTTCTCTCATCCTTCAAAGATAATAGATAAAAGAATCATATAATATAATGTATAATATATAATTTATACTATCGTTCAAACGTTTGGGGTTGGTAAGATTTTTTTTTATGTTTTTAAAGGTCTCTTATGCTCACTAAGGCTGCATTTATTTGATAAAAACATACAGTAAAAACTATGTTTCACTAAGTAACATAGTGAAATATTATTACTATTAAGACAACTGTTTTCTGTTTGAATATTTTTTTTTAATGTAATTTATTCCTGTAATGGCAAAGCTGAATTTTCAGCATCATTACTCCAGTCTTCAGTGTCACATGATTCTTCAGAAATCATTCTAATGTGCTGATTTGGGGTTCAAGAAACATTTCTTAGTATCAGTGTTGAAAACAGTTGTGCTGCTTTATTTTTTGTGGAAACCAGGATTTTTCAGGATACTTTGATGATTAGAAAGTTCAAAAGAACAGTATTTATTTAAAATAGAATTTTTTGTAACAATGTAAAAGTCTTTACTGTAACTTTTGAACAATTGAATGCATCCTTGGTGAATAAAAGTATTAATTTCTTTCAAAAACATTTACTGACTGAAATTTTTGAACGGTAGTGTACATAAAAACATATCAACAGGTCAAAGGTCAGCCACACATTGCCACTTCTGACCACTGTGATGACTCCTGTAAACACAGACACCACATGCAAGTCATTTTAACCCATTATATCCTGCTGAAACAGGGAGAGGGTCGTTTCCTGTATGTGAGAAATCAGTAACCCTCTTTCTCGCATCTTGACTTGGCGAGCGTGTGTGAGAGGCTCTGCTCATAAATCATGAATGGTGTCCTACTTAACTTGATCACCAGCCATGGAAGAGGGCCAAATCATCAGAGCAGTGGCTGTTTTATGAGCTCTTATGCCGTATGAGGATTAGCATACAGTAAACTTGTGTTTGATGGAGCCCTGGAGAGCCAGACTCAATGGCTTTATTGGCCTTCCTGCTGTCTAACAACCATTATTTGTAGTGAAGGAATAGAAACAGAGAAGCTGCTATATAAACTTTAGCAAAAAACATTCATCCATTCCATTCATTAAAATGTGTTCATCATAATTGATGAATGCGTATATAAACTGACCTTAAATGGCCGAATCGAACACTTTTTTAATATTAATATTCAAAACTTAACATTTAACATCTATACAATGTATGATGCCAATTATACATTTTGTATGTACATTTTTTATGTGTATAAAATCCCTTGTCCCAGCACAAGTTCCTATTTGACACATGACGTTTTATAGCTAATAGGACTGTGAAATGTGAGATTTGACTCTTTCTATCGATCTAAGCTGCAAACACATGGCTGTTATCTCTGCTTCAGACATGCAGGGAGTTTTTGTAGTGCTTTAAACACCCACCTGTATATCAGAACATGTACATTAACGTAATTAATGCAGTATGTTCTTTATATGCTGAACTCACACAGTAGAGAGTAACACAAACATAATAGTTTTGCTTCACTTTACGTTTTTAGTTTTAACATTGCTTACTTTAATTGGACGCATTAGCAACAAATAATGGAAAATATGCTGTTTATGATAAACCTGTGTCTAATTCATCTGCATTGTATAAAACCAGCTATACAGTAAATCTAACCATCAAAGTATGCAATACACCCAAGGGTAGATTACATTCTACATGAAGTTTGTATGCTTTGCTAACCTCTGTCTCATCCTCTTCCTGTGTGCAGTACACAACTGCTGTTGAATACGGTGATTTATATGATTATTATGAGGGAGCGACCCCCACATCGACAGATGAATATTCTGAGCCGCAGGTAAATGCAGGAAACGTGTGATGTGTTTGTAATGTCAATCATGGGTTGGCCCCGCCCCCTTTCCTTGACCTGTATAAATTACATGGGCAAAAGTATGTGGGGTGGGCTTTGTCTGGGCCAGTCAAGTTCTTCCAATCCGTTTTCATAGAGGTGTCCTGTGATGCTAACACTTTGGTACGCCCTATACTATTGAAAATGTTTGTTTAAGGAGATTATATGGTTGTATGCTAGATGTTAAGCACCTGTTAGTTAGCTTAAATAGCCAGACCCATAAATTACTGAAGCAGTTCACATACTTTTGCCCATGTAGTGTATATTTGTCTGTCCATGTTGGTAAACTCAATCTCTAGTGTGTCTGTACTGGGTTTAATGATAATAAAGAGATATTCTGTGAACTTAGGAGTCAAATGGTGGCCGTTTTTTCGAACATGGGTCGCTTTGTTTAGTTTTGAGATAACCGTTCTTGGAAGCAAGCCTGAAAGCTTTTGAAGGATGGTGTATACCAAGTTATCCTGAATTTAACTAAGAAAGCCATGTTTATAAAAATGTGAACTTATTTATATTCTAACACAGATATTTTGATGTGTTGTGTCTTTTTCCCTTCACCATAACCTTTTTCCAGAGAGTGAAACGTAGTGTCTCCATGAAAACGAAGAGGACGAGAAAGTCCCCTAAATCTTTTTCCAAACCCTATAAGTACCAGGAGCCAAAACAGGCTAAAAAGTTAGCCCCTAAGAAGAAAAGATATGGATACCTGCCACCGCCACCAAGAAAAGCCATTCTAGGGGTAATAGTACAAGCGTAGCTCATGTCAGAATCCATCAAGATCTCTCTTTCGCTGAGGGTGATCTTTGATGATAGTCTGAGCGTGCCGTCCGCCCCCTTTCTCTAGGTGCCGTCCTCGTGGATCCAGCCTGAAACGCTTGTGGAACTGCTTGAACTGTGTTAATTCCTCCTTTCTGATCTTCTTCCTCTTTTCTTCTCACTATGAATCTGCTGTAGCCTAACAATGTAGATGGGGAGTACTATACAGACAGTGAACTTGACTACAGAACAGTAGATGCTTCCCAAACTCAGTCTCCTGTCGCAACCACTGGACCAAACCAGGTAATCATTTGATTATATACTATGATGGTAGGGCAACTAAAATGTGGGACAGAAATGGGAAAAATCCAGGAGCACGTATGACGAGGAAGTATTTGATAAGCAATTACAAAAACAAAACAATTCATGGCAATTGTTCTGTTTTTTGACTCTGGGACTGTCACTGCAAGGGAACTGTTTTATCCAACAACATAAAGCTGATATTCACCATAAAACTGCCAAGTTCTAAATTTAGCCAATCCACTTCCTGTGATGCTTTCCGGTCTGAAACTTTGGACATGTCTTGAATATCAAGTAGATATTTCTTAGTGGATTGTCATGCAGTTGGTTTTCAGCTTTCTGTTGTGGATATCAATGATATTTAAGGCTGCATTCAAGAAAAATCAGCAATTTATAAATGTCCATCCATCCTATCTACATTTAAAGCAGTGAATTGATCACACAGATGAGTCAAAACTATATATGTTTGTCTTTTTGGCATGAGTTTTGGAATTGGTTGCTTAGATGTTGACTAGTTGCCCATTTTCTATGCCTAACTATCACTGAGAAGATAACATGTCCCATTCCAAACAGTTCCCTCAGTAAGTGACCCAAAGATGAGGACCTCTGATAAAGAAACATAGCGTTTGCTGTGGTCTGGTTGAATAGTTCTGGCACTAGTTAGCAGAACTATATTCAACAGAACTGAACTCTTTCACAGCCATTTGGATGTATTTACAAGGCGGTTTCATGTTTATCTTGGATATTACAGACATATAATACAGGTGCATCTCAATAAATTAGAATGTGGTGGAAAAGTTCTACTGAAATAAATGAACTTTTCCACGACAATCTAATTTATTGAGATGCACCTGTAAGTGTAGGTGTGTTTTTTCTCAAATTAAATGCAGTAAGAAATGTCTATATGTCCCTTGTGCTTACTAAATTTTCAGGACTGAAATAAAAACTGGTGTTCCTTTCTATTTTAATAATTATGTACTAAAACGTACTGTAAATCTTTGCTGTTGTAATCAAGTGTTCAGGTTGAATTTGATCTGTTCCTGCATTTGATCACATCATTAATGCATTAGTTTGTGTATTCATAAACGTTGTAGTGTCATTTCAGACTTACATAATTTATTTCTGTCTTATTTTTTCACCTCTAAACATAACATGTTTATTGTGGAAAAAAGACAGGAATATCTTAAAGTCTATCCTAGACTTCTATGTGTAATTATTAAATATGTAAATATAATGCTTTTTATATAATTAAGTTAACACTTTATCTGTCCCCCAAAATTTGAACACAAATTCGTAAAAGATAAAAAAAATTATTAAGAAACGTTTAAGTGTTGAAATATACTTTTTAGCATCTAATTTGCATATAACAGCATTTCTATGAAATCAGAACTGTTTTTATCATTCTTAACTGTTATAAACATACATTATGTGTCTTTATAAATGCACATTGCTGATTATATCTATCCATTACTGTAACTTGTATAATGTTGTGATTTACTTAACCAGATTTAATTTGTGCCTTATATTCTCATCTCACTAATTAATCCAAATCCTTGTATCCAATCCAAATCATCTGATATATTTGCATTGAATGGGACAAAGAAGTGTTACCTTGTTGCTGCCCAAATTGATGTGCAATTCTTAATAAATATATCTCATGCAATTCATTTTGCTCCTGCTTTGCATTAGATACAGTAGTATTTGCTTTAACTGCTTAAACTAACATCCATCTTCCCTCCGTTGCTCAAACTCCCTCCCCCTCTGCCCGGCCGCATTGCTTGGGTATAATAAGGCTGTGGAAGAGGAAGTTTTCAGTGACTATGTCACTGAGACAGCCCAGGCTGGTCTGGATCCGACCGCTGCCCCAGAGGCCGCGCTGCCCAGCGGCACTGCCGACCCCATCAGAGTGGACGCGTATGACTTTAAGGAGTATGATCTTAAGGAATATGATGTGACTGGGCTTGACAAAAATCAATATGAGTATGGGGCGTACGATGAGTTTGGCAATGTGGCTCCAAACCCTACATCCGCTTATGAGGACAGTTTTGGGCCAGGGGTTGCCGCAGAAAAAGACATCGCTGAAACAGAAGTGACGTCGGACGTAAGTATTGACCCCCCAAACGAGGGTGTCGTCCAGTACTCGGATTGTTGGATATGGGAATCTAGCATGCATTGTTGGCTTTGTAGTGCACTATTTCGCATGGGGTCCATCCATTTTTTTTGTTCGGTGCGTTGGTTTATACTTATCTTTCTCTACTGGATGTGATTAGCATGTTTTGAAACATACAGACCACTGCACTTCTTCCTCTTGTGCGTATTGGTTTTCTCTCCCTCCCATCTCTGTGTACGTTATAGATCACATCGATCATATAGTCATTCACAGATCACTTACATGCACACTGTCATACCAACTGTGGTTTGAACTCTCTGACTGTCAGCGCCTTATCTCCCATATTGCCCCGGGATACGGTAATTACCCCATACCACAGACCCAGCTGTCTGATCAGACACACCTTTCTCCACCTCCTCCCCCTTAAGAAGCTCATACTTCCCCTCCGTCAAACCCTCCAGCACCTGTATCTTACAGGTCACATGAGCAAAGGTTTGACGGCATCAGATCCTGTCCATTACATTACAGGTTACACAATTTCCATCTTGTTAATCTCAGAGGGTCACACTTTAGTTTGGGGACCAATTTTCACTATTAACTAACTATTAACTACGACTTTTGCCTCAATAAACTCCTAATTTGCTGCTTCTTGATAGTTAGTTAGGTAGTTGTTAAGTTGTTAATTTTCTGTTTGAAATAAGATTATTTTGCTTACCCCATTGGCAGATTATTTTGCTTGTTTCAAGCAAAAACTCACTTAATTTTGACTTGTTTTTTTTTTCTGAAAACAAGACAATAATTTTTACTTGTCTAGAAAATCCTGCTTGATTTAAGAATTTTTAGATATTTTGGCTGGAACCGACAAAAAAATCTAAGCTAGAAAAGCATTTTTTGCAGTGTGGGGTTGGATTGAGGGATCTAAAATATGGTATAAAGGGATTTAGAATAATGCTTTATAAGTATTAATAAACAACCAATATGCTAGTAATATGCATGATAATAAGCAACTAGTAAATAGTGAGAATTGGTCCTTAAAGTGAAGTGTTACCGAATAATGTGTGCTTTATAAGTACTAATAAACAGCCAAAATGCTAGTAATATGCATGATAATAAGCAACTAGTAAATAGTGAGAATTGGTCCTTAAAGTGAAGTGTTACCGAATTTAGCATCTTTTTTTTTTAGCACTTTTCATATTCATGTATTGTTACACTGCATACACTTAGCACTCTGCACCAACATTAACCCTATCTATCTATCTATCTATCTATCTATCCAGTGTTCGACCCCAGTGCTCATGAGCTAGAAAATGAAAACAATCAGTATCTTTAAAATGGACAACTTCACTAAAAGGTAATGGAAGTGAGAGGGTATCTCTATCTCTGTTCGATCCCCCTCCCTCTCTCATTCCTGTCTTGGCATTCTCTTACCTGTGTGTTGTCAAGTCAAGAAGTGTCAAATTACTGATTTATCCCTTCTCTCTTTCTCTCCCGCTCTTCCTGCTTCCCCAGGGTCCTTCCGGCCGTGCTGGTCTTCCCGGAGCGGATGGCTTGCCAGGCCCCCCTGGTACTATGCTGATGCTGCCAGTAAGACCCCTAAACTCACCAAATATCTTTGCAAATCTCTCCAGCCTAAACTGCACAACAGTTTGATGCATGTATTGCTGCAATTATACATACATGAAAACAATTATAACAAACCTGTTTAGAGTATATGACTGTGTAATAACTTGAAAAGTGCTAAAAACCATCTAAATACTGATTAAATATCCTTTTTGTGCTTTTTTGTATATACAGTTGAAAATCACGGAAATAGATGATATATAAAACAAAAAATAATGACTGCATTCTTCACTTCCGTAGATTTTTATTGTTGTGAAGTAGTTTTTAAAAGTTCAGAAAGGCATCTAAATCCTAAATAAACATTCATAATGCTGTGTTTCATATTTGACTGACTTAGTTTTAACAGTATATGCTGTAATGTGAAGTGTTATACGTACTGATACATAAATGAAAATAATGACTGCAAACTTCACTTCTGTTAGGCATATTATTCTTTAGTAGTTTGCAAACGTATTGAAAACGATCTAAATCCCAATTAAATATTTAAAATGTTGCCTTTTGTAGTTGATTAAAAATATTGTATATTATAGTATTATATGCTTATGAGGTATTATGGTGTTATACCTTATAAGCATACATACATAAAAATAATGGCTGCATACTTCACTTCTTTACAGCATACTGTTGTTTAGTATTTTTCATAAGTATGTACATATTCATAGCATTTAACTTTTTGTTTGTACAGTATACTGTAGATATAGTCTGAAATGTTATGATAAGGATACATACAGTATATATGAAAAAATGACTGCATAACTTGAAAAGTGCTAAAAACCATCTAAATACTGATTAAATATCCTGTTGGTGCTTTTATAAGTTGAAAATCACGGAAATAGATGATATATAAAACAAAAAATAATGACTGCATTCTTCACTTCCTTAGGTTTTTATTGTTGTGAAGTAGTTTTTAAAAGTTCAGAAAAACATCTAAATCCTAATTAAATATTCTTAATGCTGTGTTTCATATTAGACTGACTTAGTTTTAACAGTATATGTTGTAATGTGAAGAGTTATACGTACTGATACATACAGTAAATGAAAATAATGACTGCAAACTTCACTTCTGTTAGGCATATTATTCTTTAGTAGTTTGCAAAAGTATTGAAAACTATCTAAATCCCAATTAAATATTTCAAATGTTGCCTTTTGTAGTTGATTAAAAAATATTGTATATTATAGTATTATATGCTTATGAGGTATTATGGTGTTATACCTAATAAGCATACATACATAAAAATAATGGCTGCATACTTCACTTCTTTACAGCATATTGTTGTTTAGTATTTTTCATAAGTATGTAAATATTCATAGTATTTTACTTTTTGTTTGTACAGTATACTGTAGATATAGTATGAAATGTTATGATAAGGATACATACAGTATATGAAAAAATGACTGCATTTCACTTCACTTCAAGACTTCACTTCATTAGGGCATATTGTTGTTTAGTAAATTGCAAAAGTATTTGCTTTTCGTAGTTGATTAACTTAGTATTTACAGTATAAGTATGTAGTTAGTAACTTCACTTCATTAGGGCATATTGTTGTTTAGTAAATTGCAAAAGTATTTGCTTTTCGTAGTTGATTAACTTAGTATTTACAGTATAGTATAGTATGTAGTATTTAATGTGATACAAAAATGAAAATAATGACTGCACATTTCCCTTCTTTACAGCATATTGTGTGGTAGTTTTGAAAACTGTCTAAATCCTAATGAAATATTCATAATACTTAGTATTTACAGTATAGCATAGTATAGTACATTATAAAGTGTTATACATAATGAGAATAGAAACATGAAAAATTATGACTGCATACTTCACTTCTTTATAGCATATATTGAAAATAATATCTAAATCCTTATTAAATAGTCAGAATATTGCTTTTCATGTTTGTTTGACTCAATATTTATAGTGTAGTGTATGATAGTATGAAGTTTTTCTAAATGTAAATGATAATAATGAATACTCTGTTCATGTTTGACAGTTCCGTTTTGGCGGTGATGGGGAAAAGGGTCCAGTGGTGTCGGCTCAAGAAGCCCAGGCTCAGGCCATTCTTTCTCAGGCCAGGGTGAGTATGACAAGTAAAGGGCCAAATGGCCCTCGAGCTTCTCCCAGCTGTTTGCTGAGGGGGAGGTGGGGGACACTTGACTGAGGGTCAGAGGGTGGGGAGGGGATTTGCTCCGGTCTTGTTTGCGCTAAAACAAGAGTGAAATGGAGCAGCACAGGCTGCTTTGACTCATGCGGAGAGACTAGTTAAAAATACTAGCAAGGTTCACGACCCGCAGGAGGGTGACCCGACAGGTGCTACAGATTAGTGCTCAGATCTGTCCTTGACAAATGCGGACACCGCCCCACCTCCTCTGGCTGAAGAGAGTAGATGTC